GAAGGGCAGAGAGAGAATCCCAAGCAGGTTCTCTGCATCAGCTCAGAGCCCTTGAACTGTGAGATCATGACCTGAGCCGCAATCAGGAGTCAGACACCTGACTGAGCCACCCTGGCGCCCCTGAACTAGACCTTTGGTATGTGATTTTGTATGTTTTTTAATGTTTCCTTTCTGTTTCATTAGTATGAAGTTTCTGGACCGGAAGAGCTGAGGAAGCCTAAACTTGAGCTGAAGCAACTCTACTGAGGTAAGCCTCCTTGTGAGGTCCTGTCTGAGCCAACAGCAGGCCCTCCTTCTCCCGGACACCTGGGTCCACAGGGCTCCAAGGGCCGCGTGGGAGATGGGAGACAACCATGCGTTTCCCCCTTGAAGAATCAACCCTGGTGCTTACGCACGTCCACACCCAAATGGCTCTCTACGTGGCCATTTGGAATCACTACTGAACAGTGGAAAGGCTGTTCTTGTAAAAGGAGTGGTCAGCTTTGAAACCTTGGCCATTCTTATACAAAAGAATGCTGTTTCAATTTTCTCTAGGGCCCTTTGATAATGTATCAAAAGCCTGAGCCATGCACGGGCCTACGCTGACCCAGTAGTTTATTGTGATTTTATCTTAAAGGAAAATAAAAACATGTCTGGAAACAGATACACAGGATGTTCGTTGCAACAGGTATGAAATTAGCAACAACCTATATGTATAATTAAGATTGGTTAAAAATCGAAGTTCATCTATATATGAAAATAAGGCTGAATGTAAATGGTGATTTTTTTCCCCCCAGGTGTTGGAATCAAGTGTTGTATTTTAGCTCTGTTTGCTTCTCTACTCAAGAAAGTTGACAAGACGCTTGGGTGGCTGAGTCAGTTAACATCTGACTCTTGATCTCAGGGTCATGAGTCCAACTCCCACATTGGGACTTGAAAGAGAGAAAGAGAGCCCAGGTTGTGCCTTGTGACTGCCACCTGGGTGGCTCAGTTGGTTAAGCCTCCTACATGGGGTCAGGTCATGATCTCGCAGTTTGTGAGTTAGAGCCCCACGTCAGGCTCTGTGCTCAGAGCCTGGAGCCTGCTTCGGGTTCTGTGTCTGTCTCTCTCTCGGCCCCTCCCTTACTCACACTCTGTCTCTCTCTCTCAAAAATAAAAAACAAAAGAAACATAAAGAAAGGGGGGGGAGGGAGAAAGTTTATTCAATATACGTAACTTTTAGAAAAGAACATGCATATTTTAATGCAGCAAAAATGAATGCTAACGTGTAGGCGATGGAATCATGAGTGATTTCGTGTTTTCGACATCTTTTCCCAAAGGCATCTATTAGTTTTGTAATCAGAACAAAAAGTGAAATTTCTTTGAAAATAAAAATACAATCTCTGGAGATGGGTTAGCATCACGTATCTTTCACCTCTTATGACTGTTACAGGTCAGCCCCATGGCTGGTCCACACGATTCACACGAGACTTCCTATTTGCTGCCTCCAAACAGTAAGGACTGGGAAGGGCATGGCATTCCTGACTTTGTCTACGGGCAGGAGGAGCTGGTGCTGGAAGGGATTCAGTGGCCGAGGGATGCGCCCGGCCTCCCGGAGGACGCCGTACCACCGTCTCGCTTCGACTCTGTGCTCTGCTCCGCCTGGAAGCAGCGGGTGGAGCTGGGGCTGTTCCGCTACCGCCTGGGGGAGCTGCAGACCCAAACCCTCCCCGGTGCCGTGGGTTTTGTGGCTCAGCTGAACGTGGAGCGAGGTGCGCAGAGGAGGCGCCCCCAGAGCATCAGTAGTGTGAAGCAGGCGTTTGACCCTGCACTGTTTAACTTCAACAAGATCCGGCCAGGAGAAGTCCTCTTCCGTCTGCTCCGGGAGCCCGATCTGCCAGGCGCTCTCCAGCAAGAGGACATCCTCGTAATGATCAATGTCAGCCCCTTGGAGTGGGGCCACGTGCTGCTGGTGCCCGAGCCCACCCGTGGGCTTCCCCAGCGCCTGCTGCCCGGTGCGCTGCGGGCCGGGGTCGAGGCTGTGCTGCTGAGCTCACACCCAGGCTTCCGTGTCGGCTTCAACAGCCTGGGTGGCTTGGCCTCAGTGAACCACCTCCACCTGCACGGGTATTACCTGGCCCACAGACTGCCTGTGGAGGGAGCACCAAGCGAGCCCCTGGACCCCGGGGGGCATCTGCACCTCCTCCAGGCCGTCCCAGCGCCCGGCTTCCTCTTTTACACTAGCGGGCCGGGGCCTGACTTGGAAGCCTTGATAGGCAGGGTATGTCGGGCCACCGACTATCTGACTGACCGCGAGATCGCCCATAATTTGTTTGTGACCCGGGGGGCCCCACCTGGAAAGACATCACCCTCCTCGGCTCTCACGGGGGTCCGAGTGATTCTGTGGGCCCGGAAGTCCAGTTTTGGGGTAAAGGAAGGCGAGGCGTTCAATGTTGCCCTCTGTGAGCTGGCCGGGCACCTCCCTGTCAAGACGTCCCAGGATTTCAGCAGTCTGACAGAGGCGGCTGCTCTGGCCCTCATTCAAGACTGTCTGCTGCCCCCCGCCCAGGCAGAAGAGGTCCAGGCAGCGCTAGTGGCCTTGATAGCCCAGGACGAGCAGTAATCCTTCCAGAAGTATTTATTTTCTACCCGGTCTAACTCCCTTTCCAGAAAGCCGTCCACAGGGTCCACAGGGGTCGTTTGGGCATTTCTGTGACTGCCTTCTTACCTGTCTCAGCCTAAGGGGACGGGTAAAGAATTGACAAGTGGCCTCTTTAAAAAGAAGAAACGTTAGAATAGATCGAACAAATGAGCCTTCGTGCATGTATCTGCTTCTCACCTTCCATCTTGGACAAGCCTCAGGGATGTCAAACCTGTCACTGAGAAGGGAGTATGTGCAAGAGTTCCGTACTCCTGACTTTGTATCTGGACTTTTCCCTTCCGGTCACGTCTTGGCAGAGTGATAGTTCATGTGCCTCTGGCACTGTGCCCCCGTTTCCTCTGCTCTCGCCTCTCTGCTTATTCTCCCGTCGTCCACCCCCCACTGGTTATCATTTCTTCATCCCTCCCGTCTGTTCGGCCCTGCTTACAGCACCTTCCCCTCCCAGGCCACCCTTGAATTTTCCTCCAGCCCTCAGCCCTGAGTTGAATATTCCTCATCTACATCGTAAGTTGTCCTCACAACTTGAGTACCGCCATTTAACACTTAACAGATGAGGAGCTGGAGGCTGATAGGTTTTGCAACTTGCCCAAGGCCAGATAGCTCTCCAGTAGTGGAGTGGGGACTGTAGCACGGGCGGTCAGGTGCCAGAAGCCCGGGTAGTGCCCTTGTGACTGCCTCTGTAGGCAGCTGCTCCCTTAATGGTGTCGTCCTTAACAGTTGACAGGCGCTGAGCTGAGGTTCACGTCCCTGGATAGTTGGCTTCCTCTGTTCAGGCCTGTATGAAGCTTTTACGTAGAACTTTAGGTGTTTTATATCCCAAAAGATGTTATAAAGTCTCATCGAGATAAGGCAGAATATGTACAAGTAAAAGTTCGTAAGAAGAACAGTTTAGGGGCGCCAAGGGGGCTCAGTTAAGCGTCTGACTTCAGCTCAAGTCATGATCTCGCAGTTCATGAGTTCGAGCCCCGCGTAGAGCTATGTGCTGACAGCTGGGAGCCTAGACCCTGCTTCAGGTTTTGTGTCTCCCACTCTCCCTCCCCTGCTCATTCTCTTTCTCTCTCTCTCTCAAAAATAAATAAACATTAAAAAAAATTTTTTTAGGGGCGCCTGGGTGGCCCAGTTGGTTAAGCATCTGACTTCAGCTCAGGTCATGACCTCACAGTTCGTGAGTTTGAGCCACACATCAGGCTGTCTGTTGTCAGCACAGAGCACCTTTCGGGTCCTCTGTCCCCCCTCTCTCTCTGCTTCTCCCCTGCTCACTCACTGTCTCTAAATAAATAAATATATATATTTTTAATTTTGTGAAAGAACCGTTTAACATTTAAATTTAAATATTACATGTTTAACATTTAAATTCCTATAGAATTTGGGTCGGCTTCCTCTTTTTAGCACCTTGCCGTAATTTTAGCTTGTGCTTCTTTCTGCAAAACTTTGCCTGTGCAAACTCCAAGAGCGCCACCTTGCTTTGCTTGCCCAGTCTGAAGGAAGTACAGATGACCGTTAGCGCAGAGTGGATTTTGTGTCCCAGGTGATGCGCCCAAATACCAGGGTTTTCCCCCAGGACAGCTGTTCAGAGGAATGCCTTCTCAGGCCAAACCAAGTTTTTCCTTGAGAAGGGGGGAGAAAGTCAAATAGGTTTCTTTATGGCGGTACTTCTCGGCTGTTTTATGGAGTTCATGAATTGTCAGGGAAGGGACTTAGAAGCTTTTTCTCAGCTTAAGTGTGGAACACTTAGGGGCCACTTTGTACTCCGCCCTGGGCTTTGTGCACACCATAGATAGGAAGGGATGGTCCAGCCCAGGACTTCCATCTCTGCTTGCTTTTTGATGACCTGTGTAATGAAGGGGTTGGGGATTTGATCTAATGGGAAACCTTGAAGAGTTTTAAACTGGGGAGTAACAAATTTGCATTTTAGCAAGAATACTTAAGCTGAACGGATGGATGCGGG